CATAGAGAGTTCCACTTCCATATTTATATGGCGAACGGCTATGGAGTGCACTTCCTGCAGACTTATTCTCCGAACATTATAACTTAGGCCTTTTCAAAGGCGAGAGTGAATAGGCATTACATAGGTGCATGCTCTGTTGCCGACCTGATCATCATTTTGCATCGCATGATATGAAGGTCAAATGCGCACTATTTATTTTATTACTAAAAAAATATATTTCAGTGGTTAAGAGGCCAAAAGCCAATAAGTACAATGAGTTAATGAACACATTATAGTGTACTTTCATGTTCTTTTCTGAAGGCGAATGCAAAATGCTAAATTACAATTATTAAAATAAAACAATTAAATTGCAAATCTGGTATTTTATTTTATCGAAAAGCGCATCAAAAGTAATGAATCATTTTTGTTTTTTCTCAAAAACTTATTGGGTTTTGCCGAATGGTCACCATGCCGGACTGCCACGCGGAGGTCCCAGGTTCGATTCCCGGGCCGAGAGAAATAGTTGTATGGCCTACAATTATATCTCTCGTGAGTTTGGGTGTAATTTGTGGTTGTCTATGTGTGTGTCCATGGCACCCGCGACACAGGGTTTCCCTAGTGCGGGGCTATGTTGAGTGTGTGCGTTATTTATTATTTATTTTTATTATTTGTTTAAAAACTATTCCGCCATATCATTAATGTGATAACTGCACTCCGATTCGCTAGCCCGAGTTCAAAACAATTGACGGGTGTCATCAATGGGTGTCGTCAACTGTTTCACTTAAAATCTACCAGTTAACTTGAGTTTTTCTATAATGGATGAAAACTTCAAAATTACATATTTAATATTTAATTATTGATGAAATGTGATTCCATTTGTTATGTAATTTGATGTTTTGCTATTTTTCCCACATCATCGAATAGAACAGCACGGCATTGCTAGAGATATTATCTTTATTACAATTAATACAGAATATTTTTGGAATATACAGAGTCACAGTGACACAGGTCAGTAGTTGGCCTGTCTATATTTCAGTGCAAACAAGAGTTGATATTTATAAGAGCTGTATCGCTAATGTGTTACCAGGAATACATGGGCCTTATTTCGTCTCTATTTCTGGTTATATACTCGATGATATAGCACAATATGTTTTTTTAATAATAAGTGTACTACTAATAAGGGAACCACTATTACATTACACATTCCGTACTTCGAATATTGCACAGTATTTTATATTTAGTATTTATATATCGAATAACAAGTTTATGCATTACGTAACTTATCTAACTGATATAACAGATTAAGGTTATTATGATACCGGATGCTTTGAAAGTGTAATAATAACATTATACTTCTAATATTGACTAAAAGTATAGTATGTATAGCACACTTTTTTCGTCAATAAAATCAGTTAATCATCTAAAGATGATTCTATAATTTTTTACTTAATATTTAGAACACAAAATTGTGTGATAGTTCGTATAATTGTTAATTAACTACGTTTAAATTGGAATGTATGTGGAGAATGTATGACCAATGTCTTAATAAGGGTGTTAATTGTGAAAAAATACCGTTGTGTTAAATAAAAACGCGATTAAATGCGACGTAATATGATTTTGAATAATAATTATAAAGTAGGTAGAACAATAGAGGAAAGTTTAAAAGAAGGTTTTCTAATGCAATCTTAGTTTTTAAAGCTAAGAAACAACTCACCCGTATAGAGAATAGTATAAACAACACAACAAACACTAAACACAATTAACAACTGCGTGGAACAATATTTATATCGCAAATGAACAATATTTCCACAAAAAATTTATAATGACATCACTTCAAGCAAATGTCAAAGTTTTCTTTTCTTTTTAATTTTTGCGGCAGAGACGTCAAACCTTGCGAGTGTATGCGGCCAGTCTGCTTGTTGCGTTCCGTTTCACGGTCACTGGGTTTTTAATATTAATTTATTCAAAATACCGTTTAAAACTCATTTGACGATTTTTTATCATTAACGACGAGTAAAATGTCTTTTTTTAAACATTCTGTCTTCGTGTGGTCTGGTTTAGAGTTTAAACGATAATGACCGCCTATCGTAGGTCGATCGAGGCCAAAACGTTCATTACTCCATATTGTGTACATATGCGATTTTATTGTTTGTCTGTGACTTGCATTTAACAAGTTGCATTGTAATCGTGCGTCCTAGATTACTAAGAAACATGTAAGCGTTGAGTAGCAAAAACTATAAAATATTGTACACGTGTTAAAACGTATATTTCAGGTTTTAGTCAATCTTCACAAAAAAATAAGAATGAAACGTAGTTTCCTGAATCAATCAATAGTATCTAGTACGATAGGGTACTTGAATAACAAATTTACAGGGTTTAATACCAAATTAAATAATTATAAGTATTAATTTTCATAATGATGTGATAATTCAAAGAAACGTTTTGAAGTTTTACAAAATTAGTTTTGGAGTATATACGTTGGAAATAAAAACACAAATTTTAATTTATACAGTCGAACTACAAAAAATACACTCCGTTTCATGTAAGTTTCACATTCCAATTTCAACTCAGACGTTGGGCATGGAATCAATCAGCCTATTTCTGAAAGCGGTTAAGTGACAAGAAGCAGGCGTGATTACGTGAGATATGGCTGTGGGAGCGCCGCGCGAGTAAAAGATTGGTCACTTTACGATCAGAGGGATCGGCACGAGAAAGTAATTTAATGTGTGACTTTGAAAGATTAAAAGTAGACGCACACTCATCGTTGCTGCCGTTAAAGACAACCGATTTCGTAGCAGTCGAGCTCCTTGTGAAAGAGTTCGTCCAGGGAAGTAGACACTACCCCTTACCTGTTTCTGCCGTCAAGTAAATAGCGTGAGCATTACTGCGTTTCGGTTTTGAAGGGTAAGGTCCAGGTGAAATTGCAGGCACATGGGACTTGTCAACTTAAGTCTCAGGGTGTCGGGTGCAGTGGCAGTGCGCCTCAGATCTTTGCGCTTTAAAGCTCTGAGTGACACTGCATCTGTTATTGATAGGCGTGTCGCTTACCACCAGGCGCACGACTTGATCGCCCCGCCATTAGCTATCATAAAAAAAAGAAATTATAGTAGTACTTTTTCAAAATATAAACAAAACACAAATGGGTTGTTATAAGACTTCGTATAGTGTATGTTAGAATAAGCGAAAGGATATAACTAGCAGACAAATACAAAACACAAATTGAACAGCAAGGAAAACACATAAAGCACAAAAATTGGTGAAAATAAATAAAAAACCGTTGTAAAGGAAACTGAATTTTATGATTTTATTATGATTATGACAATAAATAAAATAGACAACAATTTCCATAGTGTAGTTAGTAATACAATAATGAACAATGAAAATTAAGAAGGTAGAATACAAAATATGATAATTATACTACTTACAAATATGAATATGTCGGTGTAAATATTAGATTTTAATGCATAGATACGTGTCAGACGCCATCAGCGAGTAAATACGACACGAACTGTGCAATACGCGTGCAGGCATAAAGTTGTCTTATTTCCAATAAAAGATAACGGATGAATGATGTACCGTATCAACTCTTGAAAAAAAAAATTAGCAACAATAGATTTTAATAAATATTTTTCATTATAGTTATTATAAAATAAGAAGACATTACATAAATTCTTATAAATTCAATAAATAGAGAATTAAACAACGAAATAAATGTAAGTATGAAACTAAATGTAATAGTAGAGGGTGTGATAATTTTAAAAATGAGACAAATACTTTTTTTGATAGAAAGAAAAATTGAAAAACTTGTAATTGAATAACACAAATAGCACATACAACTACAAACACAAGTAACTAACAATAATACGCTTACCAGAGGGCACAAAACTCACTATCCATTTCCGTATAAATGATTCGAAAATGCAGTGCGTGCGGTGCGTGCTTGCGACACACGTAAATGCGTGTTCTCCCTTAGAAAATAAATTCTAACCAAGTGCCGCCGCCCACTGAGCCACTAGTCGCCACCACTAGTGGCTGGACGCGGCCACTTGTGACTGGACGCGGCCACCGGTCGCAGCCACTAGCGTGGCTTCTAGCCACATCCTCCATTTTGCTGAATTCGACGTTAGTGTCATCAGCGTTAGATAAAAATAGCACATAATATGTATTATATATAATCTTTAACTTGGAAGACGGGTCACGATTTTTAAATTTAAATAATAATATGGGTCAAAAAGACGCTTCATCATCAACCCATTTATACGCCCCACAGCTGGGCACGGGTCTCCTTTCAGATGAGGGCTTTAGGCCGTAGTCCGCCTCCCTGGCCCAATGCGGGCTGGGGAAGTTACAAGTTTCCGAGCGTTGTGAACCTTTTTCGACGTGCAGGTATCATCATGATATTTTCCTTCACCGAAAAGCTCATGATAAATTTCAAATTAAATATCGCACATAAACTCAGAGATGCGATCCCGGATTCGAACCCACGACCCTCTGCTTGAGAGGCAGTAGGTCAAACCATTAGACTACCACGGCTTCTCAAAAATACGCTCCAAGTCCCTAAATATTTATTTCTCGCTAAAACTAATTTTTGCCTAAGAACCATTTATAAAATTCCCTAAATCTTGCGACTAAGGCCGCAATTCGGGTCGGTGGTGCGTTCAGCGAGGCGTTCAAGGTTTGCGTGTACATTGCGCACAAACGTGTGTCTTGTGTCATCCAAATCTAAAATTAAAAATAAATTCGTACGTGCTATTTTCACGTCGAACGCTGGTAACTACAATGTCGAATTCGGCAAAATGGACCATTTCTAGCCACAGTAGTGGCCGCGACCGGTGATCGCGTCTAGTGGCCTGACTTAGCCACTAGTGGTCGTGTTTAGTGGCCGCGACTAGTGGCCCAGTGGGCGGGGGCACTTAATATCGAACGGAGTGCATAGTTTTTTAAATTGAACAGCTGGGAATAGTTGACTTTGTGTCTTTTGATAAACGAATGAAGGAGGCCATTTAAATAACATAATTTACCTGAAAAATCAGTACTAGCATCGACGTCCAGCGAACAGCTACCGATTGAATCTACAGATTTATCCATCACTTTAACTGTTAAATCCTTTGAAACTTTTAACAAATCAGACTCTTTCACTTCAATTTCATAAGCTCCTATGCTATCTAAATCATGTTCCACATTCCTAACATCTGATTTAGGCGATACTGTCGAACTGGGAAGTTTTATATCAGTTTCGTCAGTAAAAATAGTCAATATGGAATCTTTATTTTCATTACCGATGTTTTTCTCAAGTATTAAAGTACTTTGACTTGTAAAATTACTCTGTATTGGTTCTATGTATTCGACGTCATCGTCGTCAACATAAATGTGGTTTATTTGTCCACTTGGGCCATCAGTGGCGTCTTTTGGAACCGCGTCAATCACCTGTCTTATTTTTAGTTTAGCGTAGTAGTGATTCTCTAGCTTTTCCAGCTGCCTTTTAGCATCTGATTGTTTTTTGCGAACGGAGTCGATTATAACAGGTAAGTTTAATAAATCTGGAGTTTTTGCTCTCTGATTCTGTTGTTCACGTCTAAATAGAGGCGAATCGTCACTTTCTAGCTCAAATCTTTTATATTTTGATGAACAGTAGTCGTCTATAGATGATGTGTCAGACTTTTTATCGAAAAATGTGTCTAGAGAAAAGAAAGATTTCCTCTTTTTTTTTGGCTGATTAGACTTCTCAAAATTTGGATTTACAAATGGCTCTCCACTTTTATATTGTTGGACACAAATATTACTGGTGTTGACTAAAGATTTTGGCCTTGTCGGAGGCAAACTTAACGGAGTTCTATTTGTTTCAATTTTTCGAGAGTCCAAGCTTAATGTTTTGCGAAATCTTTCATTTAAATTTGAAAGCAAAAAGTTTTTTCTGTCAACCGATTTTGGCGTCACATTGTAGTAATTTTTACTGCAACTCGGTTGACTATCCGGTACATGTTCTTTATACTTAAACTCGATATCATTTTCGGAATAATCTTTCTTTACTTCCTCATAAGGTTCCGAAGGACACAAAGAAGAGTGCCTTTGATTTTTCAATGAGAAACTACCTCGATTAGAAGTTTTCTCACAAATACAGTTTCCACCACAATTAAGTCTTATGCATTTATTCTCTTCTGGTTCTAAAGATATTTCTTTATCTCTTGGAATGTAATCTTTATGCTTATGAACAAGCAAATCTTGTCTTATCTTTTCTAATCTTTCATCGCCGTGCAAACCTCTTGTATATTTTGATTTTGGTGGTCTGAAGAACCGTATAGATCCAGTGGAGTGATCTGAAGAACGTCGTCTCACGAACGACGGGGAGTCAGATATCTTGTTGACCCCTAAGAGGAGAACAGGAGATTTCTTGTCTTCATCATCAGGCAAATCACTGCAAAGAATAAAACGGATTAATGGAATTTAGTAACTGGGTAACTTGGATAAACGCCCATTTATCTCTAATCTCTGGAGGCCTAATACCGCTCTTCGTCCGAAACAATTACTGTCAAATAATACTCGACTACATCAAAAGAAAATGTCAAGTATGAAGCTTCATGCGTCTTTTAATTTGGTCGAGTATTAGTTATTTGACAGTAATTGTTTCGGCCGGATGTCGACCGGAGAACCAGCAATACGTTATCAATGACATCTCGCGTCTTCGACAGCGTGTCGCGTATGGTGTGACAAAAGCGAGTTTATCTATAATTTCAGTGACTAAAAGATTATTTCCCCGCGTGCCAATGGATTTTTTCATCATTTCGAAAGCAGTTTTCTGTCACTGTTTCTGAACTTTTATGCAGCATTTTCTGCTTTTCTGTTTCAGTTTTAAATATGGTGAAACTTTTGTAAATATGCTTAAAAATGTTGTGTCTAAAATATATAACAAATATGTGCTATGTGTTATTATTATTGATACAAAGATCCCACAACACAAACAAAAATCCTACAATCTGAGTGGACTAAAATCAGCTTCTGTTGCCCGTCGGGGTCACCGATCTCACCAACAGAGCTATGGATGTAATCAGCAGACCTTATGGACTTCTCTATGTTATTGTTGCAGACCTTGTATTGGTTTTAAACGGCTTTTTAGCCGTCAGCGCCATCTGTGAAAAACCTATGAACGTTTTTCAATCAACCAGATATTTTTAGTCATCAGAGGCTGACGAGGAATGTCGCTATAACTTAATACAATAAAAATGTGCTATGTATACAAAAATTCCACCAATAGGTACGCCCATTTCTAAATCTATATTTCTGTCACTTAAATTTTAAAAGGAAAGCGATAATTTAGGCCATATTAAAGTTAGTATTAAAAAGTCTGCAACAGGATCGACTTCAATAGCTAAAAAATAAAAATTAAAAAATGTTATTCGGTAAGGTGGACACGGACCTGTGCAAGCCGTATGTGTAGACAACTTCATTAAGTGTGCTTGTTCACGAATTATACTTAATGTTATTAAACGCGCATGCTAAGCTCCTTATGCATTTAACGTCCATCGTTAAACTTCATCGTAATTAAGCGTATGTGTCCAATAATGAATGGACTGACGCGTCTTTTCGTACTTACTACAGCACTTGCGGCACGCAATGGTACGCGTCCACCTCTAAGAAAACTCTAAAGACAAAAAGCGAAAAAAAGCTAAAGAAGAAAAAACATACTCACGTACAAAAAAAAACATGACACACGTAAAGGTTTTATAAATGGTTAATTTGAAAATTAAACACAAAAAATAATCACACACAAAATAAGGAGGTATATTAAGGTTTAATACTTTTTTAGCAAATTAGTTCGCTACACTGTACAAAACAATTATTTAAATGGCGTCTACTAAGTTTTTTTTTATGACACCAAGTCGGGAACGAACGAGTCGTGCGCCTGGTGGTAAGCGATACGCCTGTCCATAGCAGTTGCAATGCCACTCAGAGCCTTAAACCGCAAAGATCTGGGGGACACTGCCACTGCGCTCGTCAGTTTGACAAGTCACTTGTCTGTTATAATTATTAATACATAGATCAAACACTCAGAAAAAATTCCTTCGATCCGGCCGGATTCGAACTAAGCCACGGAACGAACCAGCGATCCTCACGAATTTCTCTTTGTGTTTGTTGTCGTGTCTTTGTATTTGGTTTTTCAACGACTTTTTAGCCGTAGCGCCATCTATGAGAAATCTATGAAAATATTCCGTCGCCCAGTTAGATACCTTTACAGCTACCAGCCCTGGCTAGAGATGTCGCTATTCATTGTATTTAAATTTTTATTGAATTGATATTAATTTTTTTATGTGAAATTACTCTAGTACTTTGTTATAATTATTAATACAAAGTGACTGAGTTTGAGTGTTCGATCTTTGTATTAATAATTATAACAAACTAATGGAGTAATTTCACATAAAAAATAAAAAAGATTAAAAAAAATTTAAGTCCCATGTCCATTGACTTACAATTATATGGACGTCGGGTCCACGCTAAAAAGTGTCCGCACTTGTAAGGCGCTAAAATCGTATACAGAGCGCGACACTCCGCTTTAGTCTTCATTTGTTCTACTGA